CACAGGTCGAAAGATAAAAAATCAGACACAAATCAGGTACCTGATTTGTGCCTGATTTTTTATCTTTCGACCTGTGTTAGGTTCGTAAGGAGCATTTACTTTGTGACTGATCTTCAGTAAGACAGATAGAAACAATATAAACAGTGAAAACAGCCAGGACGAATGAAAAAATTGAGAATACATGATTCAATACAGACGAGAATTAAACTATAACTATCAATAAAGTTAGGCCAGTCTTTTGCACTTTTTCATATGAGAACATACCAGGCGTAGGGGTTATTAGAGACCTCAAAAAGTCAATCCTCATATTATCGTTTAGGCAGGCAGAGAGGGCTGATCCTGCATTAGACACTTGTTCATTATTTTTTGTGAAATATTTGAATAAATCAACAGCCTCCTCTTCAGCCAATTTCTTTTCGTTATGTATGGTGGAGAGGCGAGTCGCCTCTGTAAAGACCGTATACATTGGACTAAAAAGAATAGTCGATAAAAAAGCTATTAGAGTCTAATCGATTTGCAGATCCACATGTGATTATTAACCAATCAAATCATACAATTTTTATTCGTTATTTACATAAGATTGATAAATTTTTTACTAACCTATCCTTTTATGCATATATATAAGGTGGCGCGGGTGGTTTGGCTCGTGGGTCGACTCGGGTTATGGATCAAACATAACAAGTATGCCCTGTTAGTATGGAACGGATACATCTATGCTGTATCTAAAGTTACCATCTGAAGTTGCAACTTTAGATACACGTATAAAGTTGACCTGACTAAAATTAAGCCCCTGAAATTAGATCTTCATACATATAATTCTGGTTAGGTTCAATTTTATATACTTTATAGTTCCGAAAACAAACACCTTTTTTGTTTGTAATGCTGGCCGAGATCATTATAATGCAGCCCAAAATTGGCATAGTGCGGGCCAAGGGTGTTTATTTTCAGAACTATACAGTATTTAAAGTTGTACTATGTGTCCACCAAAAGTTTATTTACCGCTTTTAAACTAGAATTAGGGTTATGGCAGTCTAGTCGAGGTTTGGTTAGGGTTAGAGAAGTTTTATATATATAAAATCGCCTTCCCGACACTTTTTATTAGTGGGTTTAGGCTGCCGTTTCTTGTATTTTTTGATTTAATTCGTTGGGATGATCAAATTTACACAATTTGATTGGTTGATCATCAAATTTCGGTGGTACCCGGTATAGAACTACCCCAGCAGATTTTCACTCTGCAATTAATTTTTATAAAAACTTGTAATGAAGTTTTCTCAATAATTACTTGATCAAATTTAATGAAAATTTTTTTATTTTAATTCTATATTTTTGTAGAATCAAAATAAAAAAAGATTTATTGAATTTGGTTTAGAGGTCATTGAGAAACTATCAATAAAAGTATAAAAAAACTCAAATATTAGAGAGAAAAATAAGCTAAAATCGTGAAAAATTATTCTTTTTAAACCTTTAAATAAGATTTTTCAAAACCACAAGTTCAAATTTTTTATCGAATTTAAATAGGTGATTTTTTTTTTTTTTTTTTTTTATAATTCGGCAGTCATGCTTTAGCTTTATTAGGCTTTGTACAATTCCTCTAGAATATGTAAAATTTTACAACTAGGC